GGATTGTAGCAGTGTTATTTGTCCTGAACTGACGTCAATTCTGTGTCCTGTTGATTCGTCTCTAGTAACCGGTGGTATATCTGGTGATGGATGTTGTCTACTACCTGAGAGGTGAGCAAGTACAAGTTGAAATTCCCAATTAATCTCAGAATATGTATAAAGAGGAGAATGCTAAATGACATTGAGATGCTGCAATTCTGTAAACTGTCACACCTCTGAATTTTATTGGAAGGTGGAATTTTAAAGAGGTGCTACAAAATACAAAACAAATATTGATGGTGATCAGTCTAGACATCTGTCTTTCAATATACGGCTATACGATTACAATATGCAACTGTACACTTGACTTATATTTCATTATTTTGATGTTTCAAGCAAATTTACTGTAATTTTATTGATTCAATTTCATCAATGAGTGCATGCTCAATTAATTTAAGCACATTACCAGTTTATAATTGACACGCAGTGAATAAAAACAGAATACGTTCTGAAAACTAAAATTGATGAATGTTGATAAAACCATTGTATTCACAGGTTTGTTCATCCATGTTTTATTAATTTGAATGCAGATGTGAATGCGTGAATACAAAATGTGAACGTCCAGTGTGCGAGACCGGATTTGAACCTCGGCAGATAGTCGGAGGCACAGGCATGCCAGGCTCTTGTTGTGACGTCTATGAATGTGTTAACAGTAAGTTAAACGCTTTACTCAATAGGGGCAGCAGAAATGAGATAATACTATGATGAATGTTCTTTTTCAACTAATCATTACTGGTATCTGATCTACATTCCTTCACACCATAAACCACATGCATCATGTACTAACAAGCAGAGATATCACACACAACAGGAAGTATTAATTCCCATAAGATATATACTGGTAATAGTATAGTAGGAGTTTAACCACAAGCTTTTTAGACTCATTTAATTGGTATACCTAACACCAGGGTTTTTTTTTTTAATTTCTGTATTTCCTCTTGTAACAGAAACCACAAGAGTAAGGTGTTTGTATGAAGACCAGATTTATGAAGATGGTGCTAATTGGTTGTCTGACTGTCATTACTGTCAGTGTAGGGGAGGAGTGTCACACTGTCAATTACAAAAAGACTGTCACAGTGACAAAACAGAACCTACACCAGCCTCTGATCCTCTGTGTTTTGATCAGGCATTTTATTTACATTCGGAGACATGGAATAGAAATGATTGTACTAGTTGTAGATGTAATCATGGAGAGGTTCAATGCACTGCTACTAGTTGTTCTGTGAGCTGTCTAAATCCTGTCAAGATACCTGGGCAATGCTGCCCATATTGCGAAGGTGAGGTATATTCATTCTTCTACTAGTATATCTCAGTAACACAGAATTGACTGTACTGGATAAACTGCTGCATGAAAGTTTAACAGGTTAAGGTGCATCGATTGTAGATATTCATCATTACTACCAGGAAGTCTAAGATGCTACCAAATATAGCAGCAAATTGTTTATAGAATCACAAATCTCATTTGACCACATTAGGCCCTTGGCATGTGAAGATGTGGATTCCCATATTTACATTTTTGCATTAATTAAATCCTTTGAGTACCAAAGTTTCACAAAATAAAAAAAAATAAAATAGATTTTTCCACATTTTTCAAAAATTCTGATCAAGACCAAGTGCTTTCGGTTCAAAAGTAATAAAAACATTAAATTATGGTGTTCAAAGGGAGAAAACCAGATATTTGTTTCAATAGCAATTGCATGTGTTAATGGTGAATGACAAATCCCAACATGTAGCTTTATTTTTTACCTTACAGAACCCACTTTCATCACTCCACCTAATCCATGTCCACCATTTACATGCACTATAAACTGTGAGCATGGGTATAAAGTGGATGATAAGGGATGCAGTTTGTGCAGTTGTCAAGGTAGTTCACATTCATTTCTACAAAGCAACAGTTATTTGTTACCAACATTTTTTTTTGCTACCTACATTTAGTAAAAAAAAAATGGAAGAGAGAAAAAATGTAGCTTATATAATCCATTAACTTAATATCTGTTAAAACACAACCAATTTGCACATTGGAATACATTTCCACAAGAGCAGTAACAATTAATGATAGGACCCTATACATCAAATTCATTTTTAATGACCAATCTTATCGATGATTGGAATATTTAATCCAAAGTTAATTTGATAGAAAAACTCAATTTGGTAGGAGGCCATCTTACAACTTAAGTAATGGTGTTTACATTAAGTCAGGTAAATTTAATGCTGGTTGCCAGCATAAACATTATAGGAAGTTTACAGCAGCATAAACTGTACAATCTGACCATGGTCCTCATATTTTCTATACATACAAACATAGGAATTAATGAACTTGCAGTGACAACAAAAATGTTTAGTGAATGTTTTCATACCTAACTAAATATGTACATTAAATACTTGTTATACATATTAAATAATTGTTAATTTACTTGCTCTATAGAATTTAAATGTCGAGATATGAGAGAATGTGATAAACATTGTCCTGGCGGTTTTAAGACTGGAAGAAATGGATGTCCAGTTTGTCGATGTAAACACATCAAGGAGTGTGCACCAGTTGACTGTGGTAACAAGCATTGTACTTATGGTTTTCAAAAAAATAAACATGGATGCAACAAGTGCAAATGTGAAAAATGTCCACAATTTGAATGTGATAAGCTCTGTACATTTGGATTTGTTACCAATGATAATGGCTGCAAACTTTGCAAGTGCAAAGGTAAGAATATTCTTCATCAATTTTATTAATACTACCAGTCGTGTAGATTTTAGCGATTTCATAATAGATTTGTTTATGAAAGTGTTAATTTCCACTATTAAAACCTACTGCAGAAATTGAAGACAATTCTCACACTAGAGCAGTGTGACATTCAACTGAAAAAAAGTATGCAAGTACCAAATTTTAACCCGTCTGAGCGAACAGTTGTTAAATAATGCATACAAATTATAGTATACCACTATAAAATCATTTCAAAACTTGTTATTATGAGATATGGAATTTGATTTTAATAGAAACCACCCATCATAACATCATCATCATTGGAAAACTAGAAAAAGTATTATACCGGTAGCCTACATGTAACTAGGTCACAGTATATGGTTGTTCTTTGAAGCTTGGTTATATATCACTAAACAATACAGTTTTCTGAACACCACTACAGGTGGTCTATATGTTTGATATAATGATCAAAATACCCAGTACCCGATTTATGGCTTGTTTCAATGCAGACCAGTTGCTGAATATTAACAAAACATGTGGAAAGTCGTTAATTTTTATTCTAATTACTTAAATGATAAGCTTGATTTTGTACCAAAATCTAATAAGGTCCAGGTATATGTGTAATAAACTGCATCTCAATCCACCCGGTGGTTCTTGAGATATTGGTGGAACCAAGATTTTACACATCCATCTATCCACACACCCATAGACAGATACTGGTATGACATTGGCTCCCTTTGTGCTCTGCACTCAAGAGCCAAAAATTATGAGTTCAAATGAATGTTCTCATGCTTGTATTACAATTTGTGTGTCACCTTTAGGCAAAGTTAATTTTGAATTTATTTGATCAAGCAACAATTACTACTACAAAATGGTCATGTTACTACACAACTGTTGGTGATGATTGCAATAATACGGCACATTGTATTAAAACTTTGTCCCCCTTTTTACAGTTGCTCCAACAACTCCGCCAGCAGCAGTGATTCCATCGGGATCTTGTTTGACTGTGTTTGGTGACTCCCATGATAATGGTGAGAGTTGGCATGATGGATGTAGAAGTTGTTATTGCCATAATGGTCAAGAAATGTGCTCCCTTATATCATGTCCGATACCAGAATGTCAAAATCCGGTCTTAAAATCTGAATGCTGTCCCACATGTCCTGGTAAGAATTATATTGCAATTAATTCTGGCACAAAAAATATAAGTACATAAATTTAGCTAAGACGACATTGTGAGGCATTGTGCCATTCCAATGTTATTTTTGGCTTACACCAGATGCTGAGAAAAAGTAATACTAGTATGTACTGGTATATACAGGTAAGGATCGTGTACATTTGTAATTGAAACAATCAAAAACGTTATGCTAAAGGAGAATAGTCGGCAATGTGTTAGTAAAGTCTTAAAGAAAATATACAGGTGCAACTCAAGACATAGTTACATTATTGAAGATAGTCTTGCCGACTATCTTGTCAAACCAAATCAATTTTCAAAATATTATAAAAGACTGCCTTGCAAATCAAAGAACTTATCTGCAAGATCTAGTTAACCATCCAATAGTAATGCCTGTTATGGCAGCTAATCATAGAAACGTACTAGTGAATTACTTGATATGATGTGTATCACTTAACTGTAACACTTTGTGTTTTCAGATCACGAATCCAGTGGCCAACCAATGTTTAGTCTTAAAGTATGTCATTCGTCAGATGGACAATATTATGTGGAAGGTGAAACGTGGTATCTTGATAGTTGTACACAATGTGTCTGTCATGATGGTCATGTACTATGTTCACCACTTTCCTGCCCTCCTGTTCCATGTGATACCCCTATAATGAAACAAGACACATGTTGTCCATACTGCCAAGGTAAATAATTCTTAATATTATTGACATGTAGGGTTAGAAAATAGTTAAAAATATGTAAATTTGATGTTCATGATTTTCATGCAAAATTGTCATAGTGGTAGTATATTTTTGACTCCCACGTGTGTATGTGTGTGTCTTTCTCTTTCTGCTCTAAGACTGACTGTTTTGGGTTAAAATTCAAGGCAAGAAAGCAGTCAAGACAACCAGTATTATTGTAAATAGCTGGTTATC